CAACTTCCATTCTTTATGTAGTACTATATACTTTTGTTGTCTGCATATTGAGTTTATGTTTCCCAATTGATTCGATAAGCAAGAGCACGTTCTACGTACAATTTCTAAAACATGGCAAGATCTTGACAAAAAAGTAGATGAAACAAAGACCTCAACAGTCTAGTTTAAAGTCATTATTTTGCAAGTTCTATGGTCGATACAACGATATTGCCAGCAAATACAATCTATATCAAGAAGCCGAATACTATAACTTTCATCTTTTTTTTTCTTTTTACAAATTTACACATTGCATTGTCTACCGGAGTATTCCTTTGCTCCCTTGCTCCCTTTGCCCGATCAGAGAATGGGTGTGACTAGTGAAGTCGACAGGATGCTTACGAGGGCTCTTCGGAAATTATTGAAACATTTACTTCTACTCCATAAAGGACATAGATAAATTCATGAAAACTGATCAGCAATTTACGAAGAACGAATTAAACAGTTATGCAGAATTTCTATTTTCGAGGATAATTAGATAATTTTTGGTGAAATTATAAACATGCATATGTCTAAGGACCTGGAGCAGCATCGCTACGTCATTTTAACGACGTAGCGATGCTGCCGGAGATGTTTTCGCATATGAAACGATCGGGAAGCGTTTACTCTTCTTTGTTCTCCAATAAGTCATTGAGAAATTGAAACTCTTAAAATAACTCCAAGTCTGGATTTTTAGCTGCCTACTAATAGCTTGACCTTTTCAGAGGTTGTGAAAATATTTCCATTTCTATTTGTTTTCTCTGTGATAACTCTTTGACAATTTAGTAAAATTGATTTCTTGATCATTATACCGGAATGTAAATTTTACCAAGAAATAGGTCAGGAGCCTAGGAGGCCTAATGAGACCTAAAATGCTAAAAACAACCAGTAAGTATGAAATAAATATTAGATGAATGAGAAATTCTTATTATGAATTTCCAGACTGAGGTATGGGGTAATTGAAAAAAAGTAATTGTGACTAATTCCTTAATAAATTAAACAGTTTTTGTAAACTTTTGAAACTTGTTATGTAATGCACACAATAATTTTTGTTGGTTTAATTACTGATTTGATTGTCCATATTATCACCCTATATATGTTTATTTCACCTCTCCCCTATCTAACAACTATGGTACAGACTATATCAATGAAGTAATTATCTCACCTGACACAATTTTTTTCTATTCAAATGTGTGCAAGTAATTTGCATCACTCAAAACAAATCAGCCCCCATATGAATATAATGACAGTGTCCATGTTTTGTTCTGGAAAATCAAAAATATATGTCAGATCAAAAAGTAAAATAGGAGGTGCACAATGGCAATATGTAATTAAGAATCTGTTAAAGTTTCATTAAATTTCCTTCAGTGGTATGAGAGGAGTTGCGGATAAGAGATGGGTACCCCAAAGTGTAACAGACGGACGGACGGACGGACCGACGTACAGACGGACGGAATTAACGATTACTATATACCCTCCCGCTTTTCAAGCGGGGGGTATAATAAGACATGTAATTAATTTAGTGTTATATAACTTTGAGTTTTAAAACATTCAAGAATTATCTGTGACTGTTATCAGATAGATGCAGTTTCCTCCACGTAAGACCTACATGTACACAAATTGAATGCCTTGTTGACTTATTTCCAGTTCATGTTGAACATTTTTACTTCAGTATAATACTTGGATGTAACTTTTTCAGATGAAAAATTCCATTACTATTCACTTTCTTCATAAAATAATTGTTGAATTGAAAGTTATTCTTTTCAAAAGCTAGTGGAGCAATTTTAATTGAAATAACCACCCCTATAAGATTATATTAATAATTGTTCTTATTTCCAGATGGTAAAGTGAATGTCTCTTTATACCCCCCGCTTGAAAAGCGGGAGGGTATATAGTAATCGTTAATTCCGTCCGTCTGTCCGTCCGTCCGTCTAGCTGTACGTCCGTCCGTCTGTCCGTCCGTCCTTCCGTCTGTCCGTCCGTCCGTCTGTTACGCTTTGGGGTACCCATCTCTTATCCGCAACTCCTCTCATACCACTGAATGAAATTTGATGCAACTTTCACAGAATCTTTATTACATAAACCTCCTATTTTACTTTTTGATCTGACACATATTTTGGGTTTCCCGGCCACAGGAAAACATGGACTTTTTCACCAATGATAACCATATGGTAGGCGGGGGGTATCATTTAGTGAGCTCATCGCTCACAGTACCTCTAGTTTCTTATAAAGCCTGTAATTTAATTGAAGAAAGGGTAAATGTGTAATCTAATTGACCCAATCCCTGATTATGAACCCTTAAAGAATAAAACTAAATACCAGGGCTTTTAAAATGATTACAACATGTAAACAGAGTGCCACCATGGACAAAAATAGGAGGTACCACATTGATAGGATTTAAGATAAAGTTAAAATTGGAACCTCAATTTTTCTAAAAAAGGAATACATATTTGGTATAATCCTGATATTATTAGCTGGGTAGAAGTATCAGGTATTTACAGATTTTTAAAGGCCTACCATTTCCCCCCAGAAATCAATGTTATATAAACATTTATAAAAAAAAAATTATGTAAATGATGCTTCTTTCACATTCCCCTTGGGGGAAGGGGGTGAAGGGCTAAATCATATCCCATCCTACCTATTTAAAAAAAGAATTGGTTGACCTGAAAAAGTGATTTTGGTCTTCAAAATTTTCCATAAAAAGTCAGTGGGTAATATTTTGAATTCATTGAATCACTTGATAGAAGCATGTATTGATAAAAAGAACACTTTTCTAAAACAGTAAAGAATTGAAACAGTTTTTTAATATATAAACTGACAATTGACATTGGCAGAGACAAAGTTGCATACAATGTCAAGCAATGACCTTGGGGAAATGCTGATTTCCAAACAAAACTGATGTCAATTGTAGATATATGATTAAATATGGGAAAAAATCATTTCTTATTATATTAATTATATATGGCACAAGCATACTGTTTAATGATAATATGAGGCCTACTTCATTCATTTTTCAATACAGCACCTTCACAGAGATGGAAAAATTGCTCAATTGTTTGTGTTTTTTCAACGAAACACGAACTAAAGTTTACAGAAAAGTATCTAAGATGCAGCAAAGATTTATAATTATTATAATATTTTAATTACTGGTGAGAAAACTAAGCATACCGCAGCAAAAACAATACACCGAAGTGCAAAAAACAGTATAGACAAAAACTTGAAATGGTACAGAGAAGGGCCGCTCGCTATGTGACTAACACTTGCCACAATACTAGTAGTGTTACAAACATGATTAATACACTACAGTGGCCAACACTAGCTGAGCGACGCCTCAAAACAAGATTAATAATGTTCTATAAAGTAGTTCATCAACTTGTTATACCAACACAAATACTCATACCTACAGACACAAAATAGACAAAATCATTCACAAACATACAGACACTTACCAGCATCAAAAGATACATACAAATGGTCATTTTTTCCTCATACTATAATTCAATGGAATTTACTCCCCCAGTCTGCTGTCCAAGCCACTAACGTTACATTTTTAAAATAACCCCAGCTGTTCTCAACACTATCATGTAAAAAGTTAAACAGTTAAATTTTTCTTTTAATCACTAATGTAAATAAAAGCACATTTCTTTTTTTTTTCTTTATATTGTTTCTATTTATATAAAAATAGGTCACGCAAAACAAGTAATCTTCAGTACTCTGAAGTTTTGTTGGAAAACAGAAGAAGAAGAAGCAAGGGCGCATCTTCTTGCAGCCATGTTGAAGCAAGAGAATTTCCGATTTCGCGCATGCGCAAACTTTCGGGATGTTTCGGTAGGCCAAAAGCTGCAAAAAATCGCTTTCAAACTTTTCAAAAGTTGTTTTTTTTATCATTATAATTATTTAAAGACTTCTTTACATAAAAAATCACTTGTCCAATCGGACAAGTGCCCAGCAAAATTCACGTGTCCGTAATTTTTTTTCATTGGTACCGGACAAGCGGACAAGCGTTAATGTCGAGCCCTGGTTCAAAATAACAATCGTTAATTCATAAAATACCGGGTATCTGAATGTCGAACTGAAGGCCATAAACAAGTGTTTCCTCTTCTCTTATAGAAGTTTTTGAATCAATTCTGCTTAATTCATAATAATATAAAAAAAATAGGTCAGCTAAAGAGGAGCACAATTAGTGCCCATCGAATTCCAACAGTTTGTTGGAAATCTTATAGTCTCCAAACACACATTAATGTTGTCAATCAGAAACTCTAGCATTCTAAGTTCAATATCAAACTCAGAGTACTTGTGTGTATAGTAAGAATGTTTTTTTAACAAGAAGTAATTTTGCTGATGACCAATCACAAGATGTGAACATTTTCGACTTCCGTTTTAATGAAGAAGTTGTCTATGATATCTGATCAAAAAGTCTAGCTTTTAATATATCGTGAGAAATCCTTGTATGAATTTGAGAAATGTCGGAAGGTTGGATGTTACAGACTTTCGAAAATTTTGGTAATTTTGAAAATGAAGTTCTTTAGAGTTTTTGTGGAACTAAATATGATTAACACCACTCCTAGAGTATGCTGTAGCACAGAACGTTTGAAGTTACCCCAAAAAAGGCACAAAACTTAACATAAAGTAAACCATCGAGCTGAAAATCCGTGGGTTCAGACGGTTATGTTGTCAAAATTATACTCTGCATTTTTCACAGATCTAACAACTCAAACTAAAAAGGCACAAAACATAAAGTAAACCATCCAGCTGAAAATCCGTGGGTATGTTGTCAAAATTATACTCTGCGTTTTTCACAGATCTAACAACTCAAACTACTGAGGTATCTCATATGTATTTTTTTCAAAAAGATATAAAAAATGTTTCTTGAAGACTTGTTCCACGACTTATCATAATATATCGACTTCAGCGTTTCTTACCGAATTAGACTTACTTGTTTAGCGAGCACTTGCCCATTTCCGGTTATAATCGCCAAGTTCAGGAACAAAAAGTGAAAAACAGGGAAATAATTTTTGTCTAAACTTTAAATAAATTGGCATTACACAATGATTCTTGTAGCTTTAAGGCGATATTTATTACTAGCATGTAAGTATTTATACTTTTTTGACAAAATTTGCTGACATTTTCCCCCTATAATGCTGATAACCTCTTATTCTTAAACAAAATGAAATATGGGGTGGGACTTTTATATCTACATTTCAAAAGCGGTGAATAGCATAAAATACAAGAAATAATACCCGAAGTGAGCGGCGAAAAACGGCAGCGTAAATCTAAGGTTTGTACAAGGCTTGGATCTGTAGCTCTCTGCTTTATCTGTTCGAGTTTTCTCAAACAGAGAGCTAAAGTTCTGCAGTAAAGACTTTTAATATTTATTTATCTTGTTTATAATTTAGCAGAATACTTATTTACTACGTGAGCAGGGGGTGGGTGGGTGGGAGGGGGGTTAGGGCAAATGAGACCTTTCTTGTGAATTTTACAATTTTTATGGATCCATCGCCTAATTTGTATAATTTGGATATGGAATTTTTGCATCATGTTATCTTTCTTTTGCATGGATGCTTTTAGATAGAAAGAAAAAAACAAGATGTGTTTGTGAAACACTGATGCCCCTGTATGGCAGCTTAAAGCCAGAGTTGAAGTTATCCAAATGCAAGTCAAACTCCAAGGTCAAGGTCAAAAGGTCAAAATTGTTCTTGTCACAAGAAATATACTTGTGAAATATGAAACCCATAGACCCTAGTACTAACTCTTTAAAAGTTATTTCCATAGTTAAAGTTTTTTATCTCACCTGAGCCGAAGGGGTTGGGTGGGGCCACAATAGGGAATTTGAAATGTCCAAATTAAGACCCTTGGGGTACGATGGGGTCATTATAGGTATTACAAGGGGGGAAATCTGGTTAAGAATCACATGGTCAAAACTTCTCAGGTGAGCGATGTTGCCCTTGGGCCTCTTGTTTTATAAAGTGGGTCAAACTCTAAGGTCAAGGTCAAAAATATTTATACCCATCGGAAAGTCTTGTCATAATTTATACACATGTCAAGTATGAGAGTCCTAGCATCAACTGTTCAAAAGTAATGAGCAATGTTAAAGTTCGAAAAATTATGGTAAAAATGGTTCAGTCTCCAAGGTCAAGGCCAGGAGGTCAAATCTTAAGGTACCCTAGGAAAGGTCATGTCACAAGGAATGTCTTGTCACAAGGAATATACCTGTGGAATATAAAAGTCATAGCCCCACCCACTATACAGTTATGGGGAAGGTTAAAGTTAATAAAAAGTATATAATTAAAATTTGTTGGTCTGCAATGAGTTTGATACAACTTCAAGACAATATATCCATGTAACAATACAACATTACAGTACTTTGATTATAATGTCATGATCACAAGGCCTCATAAATCACAAAGCATATTGCTAGGTATTTTCATAATCTGACATGATACAATGAAAGACTTGGTGAATTTTCCTGCTCTTGCTTTAAATAAATAGTACCTATATAGATGAACAATTTTATTGTTCAAAGTATTGGAAAGACAGGGAAACTATGAAAATCCATTGTTGAGACTATGAAGTCACCCATATTAACAATCTTGAGAAAGAGTGTTGAAATATTCATTTTCTATGACTTTGGAAGTAAATATATCAGAAATATGTAAATATAACTAATTATATGCCATGTTGAAGTTGTGGTACATGTATTGTGAATTTGTGATACACATTGAAGCACATGACCATATCATGATGGAAATTGTATAGGTAGCCATACTTAAAGGCCTACAAGGAACATGTACTAATATCATTTATAAGGCAAAAAATCATAAAAACAATAGAAGCTTCCTTTTTTAAAGTCACATCTTTTGTTTTATAAATTGAAAACTTTTTGGTCAGAGACCAGAGGAGCTTATGTGATAGTAATGCATCCGTCGTCCGTCCGTCTGTCTGTCTAGCTGTCTGTCTGTCTGTAAACAATTTTTCAAAATGCTACTCCTCCTACAGTTTTGGTCCGATTTCAATATAACTTGGCACACAAGTAGACTACACTAAGATACATAATTCTCTGCATGGGTGTTTATTTTCAATGAATGGTGTTGCCATGGTTACTAAAATTAAAAATTTCTGTTTTAAGATACATAATTCTATGCATCGGTTTTTGATTTCGATGAACGGTGTTGCCATGGTTACTAAAAATAGAAATTTCTGTGAAATTCTTTCAAAATTCTACTCCTCCTACAGTTTTGGTCTGATTTCAATATAACTTGGCACACATGTAAACTACACTAAGATACATAAGTCTGTGCATCGGTTTTTGATTTTGATGAACGATGTTGCCTTGAATACTAAAAATAGAAATTTCTGTGAAATTCTTTCAAAATGCTACTTCTCCTACAGTTTTGGTCTGATTTCAATATAACTTGGCACACAAGTAGACTACACTAAGATACATAATTCTCTGCATGGGTGTTCATTTTTGATGAATGGTGTTGCCATGGTTACTAAAATTAGAAATTTCTGTTTTAAAGTTTCAAGTCCCAGCTGCTACTTTTCTCTTCCTCTGTTTTAAGTATAAACCAGTAGAGCTACAGTCTCGACAGAGACTTCTGGTTAAACTCTTAAATGGGATAAAGTTTTGATAACAATTTCCAACTCAAAAAAAAATATTGGGCTGTTGAAACATTTTTACTTTGTATCACAAAAGTTTGAATTTTAAAAGATTACCCAGTAACTTAATTACCAGGTACATTTATGCATATTGCCAAGGCATTGGTATCTTGTTTATCAGTAAGCTTTTGCATGGTGTGTGCAAGCAGTTGAAATTAAGTTGTTCTTATATATTTTTGAATTTGATTTAATAATATCTCCCTAAAAGTTATCTCTCATTTCAGCTACATGATTGATCAAAGAAGACAATGTGATATTGAGTCAACAACCATAAAAAGCTATGGGTAAAATCAGTAAACTGTTGGTCTGTGGTCATGTGGGAGTTGGAAAAACAGCAGCCATAGAACAACTTATATATGGAAACCATGTGGTCGGGACAGTAAGATAAAATCACATTAAAGTTTATGTACAATAGCGCATTATGATGGCAAACAGAATTAGTTAATGCTTTACATGCAATAAATTTATCACACCATCTTTGTTTACCAAACTGGTATAGGTTTCTATTATAATATTTCTTAGCTGCAGATCGGTAGCGCTATGGTTTTATTTATTTGTCTTTGACCATAATGCTACAGATACCGTAATGCAAAAAAGGTGCAATTTATGGCTCAATATTTTTTGCACACTTTTGTGGAAAATTTCTCCACTTTCTAGCATCGGTTAATCAACTACCTTTCCCTCCCTAATTCTAAGTATATTTTATCCACCTCTCAACCATTTATAGTTGCCTATACAGGCAATAAACTCGCTTGAAGTGAATTTTCAGCATTCTAACAAATAATTTTAATCAAGTGAGTTTAACACTTGTAGAGACAACTATAAAGGGTTGGGAGATGTTTAAAATATACAGATTTCGTTAAATAATGTGTCTAGAATTAGGGAGTGAAAGGTAGTTAATTGACTGATGCTGGAAAGTGGAGAAATTCTCCCCAAAAGTGCACAAAAAATATCGCGCCGTAAATTGCACCTTTTTTGCATTATGGGATCTGTAGTGTTATAGTCAAAGACAATTAAATAAAACCATAACGCTACAGATCTGAAGCTACATATTTCTGTGAATTCAAATTTTACTAGTTAAGACAGTTTCATTAGTAATTTGGCTCAGGTGCCTTTATACTTAGATTTAATAGCTTACTTTTGATCTTATTCTCACTTTTCTACTATTAATTCTTCTGGAAAAAGTTAGCCTGAGAACAAAAGTGAGCTCATCTAAGTTTTATGGGCCCTAAGTCTTATCCTGTGTTTTCTTTGATATATGAAATTATATTGAGAAATTAATACTCATGCTTTCTTAATTTATCAAATTTCATGTACAATGAAGTAAGATCATACGCAAATAGATTTTGTTTTATGACCTCCTAATGAACTTGATTTTTTTCAAGTATTTTCTTAAGAGTTGCAGAAGACATCAATTTGCAGACAAGATTAGATCATATGTATTGCCCAAAAAGATTTTAAGAAATTTGATTTCTTTAGGATTTATAAAAAAAAAATGTCAAAAAATTCAAATGGGCAACTGCTGTTGACACTATTTTCTAAAGGAGAATAACCCCTTAAATGAGATATTTTGAAGCTTTTTCTATTTAAATTAGAAATGAAACTACTGTAAAACCATGAATGAATTCGTAGGGTGTATTCTTTCTGTGTTTTTTGAGGTATGAAGAGACTCAAAAATTTAATTTGTTATATATATATTACCACTCAACAATTCTTGTGGTTTTCAGGATAATGTTATTTAACTGTTATAAAAATAACTTCTCTTTTTCCTTTATGTATTTTTATAACAAGCAAAGAAAGTACATGTAGTAATCTAAAAGAAATAAAGGGTTATTTTCATACTTTGATTTGATAAACATTTGCTAGTAAGTAACGTTTGTATTCATTTTATTTACCCAGGTAATGTAAGGCTTTAAATTTATTCTGTAGCAGATGTTTCCAACCATAGAGGATATTTATTCTGCTATGATTGAAACAGACAGAGGGGTCAAAGAGAAAGTCATTATTTATGATACTGGTTTATTGGTAAGTATAAAATAATTATATCTTATCAAATGAAGTAGTCAGACACAGCAGTGAGCTATAATTATCTATCCAGAGTTGTCTTTCTTGCTATGTTCCTTTGTTCATCTCTGTCATCTTTTGTTATGGGAGAAAATTTGAAAATACATGTTAAATTTTGTAACAAAAATTGTTTTTAATTATATTAATCTTTAAAATGAAAGAAAGAAAATTTAATTTTAACCTATCACTCCTTTTAAGGATTTTTTTATCTTTATTTTGCAAATAGTTCCTTTAAAACCATAAGATCTGAAAATTGAAATATTATCATTCTTTACCGACAAATGCAATAACTAATAATAATTTTGATTTTAAAATTTCAATATTTTAACATCTACAAGAATCTTATTCAAAGGACATTGACAGAGGTGTATGTGGTAACATAGTAGCAATTCTGGGTAGAGAATTGTGAGTTAAATTATCTTATTTTTTTTTTACCTAGCTGTGTTTATATTTGTCTACGCAGATGTTATTCATGCAGATGTTATTCATTCAAGCCAACCAACTTATGACCTATCAAAATTTTGTATAAATCCCCTGTGCATACTTCTCATGGTTTGGCAGTCAAGAGAGGCTTTATATTTTCTGGAAATCAGCAGATAAACCCTTACCAAAAATTCAATTTCCATTAAATAAATAGCAATAACATTTTCTTCAAAATATAAAAAGTTTCCAAAAATAAAATAAAAAATAAAATAAACCAAATTACAAGGTATTAAAAATAACAGTCAGTATTAAATCAAACACAACTTTTTTTGTTTATTAATGATAGGAATTTACTTATTTAGCCTTCTTTTCTTTTTCCAGGATGAAAATAAATCTGAACTCCCTCGGCATTACTTTTCATTTCCTGATGTAAGTAATTTTACTTAGCAGTAAGCATACATGTTAACCTATTGTGATGAAAAATAGGGAGATTCAGACCTCAAAAGCGGTAGCATTGCGCGCGCGTTGTTTTACGCTTGGATTATCGATATATTTCATGTAATATACATGAATGTAGCCTTAAATGAAACCTACAATAATTAATCTTAAATATCAACAGCACTTTAAAGAAGAAGACAAAAACACCTTAAGTTTGACATGAATTTTACAAATTCAAAGATTGTTCATGCTCATCATTTTGCTTGGATTGGCTGTTTAACTTAGCCTTTTGAAGAGTGGTCTTTGCTGATATAGCCTAGAAGCAATAATTCTGAATGTTCATTCAGTTGTTAAACAAAACAAATGATGACATGGTTTAACCTAGATCTAAAACAAGTTCCTATCTTTCGTTATATAAATCAGATTTCCCGCGATGATCGAAAACGAAAGTAGAGATGTGCCATATGGCTTGATCAATCAAGTGATTTCTATTGACTTTATTGATAACATTGTGAGCTCCTGTGCCTTTATAGACGATGTCAAACGTTTTCATCTAATTCTTAAAAGCTGTATCTCCTTTTTCATGGCAGTGATGTTGACTAAATTGATCGTAACCAATGTAATCAGTGGTAATCTTGTGCTGTTGTCGTTGTCAAATTTGTGCTTGAAATTTATGTACACATTGATACTAAAAAAGCGTTTGTATGCTTCCGAGTCAAATCACGCGATATCTAACGAGATTTTATGAGAGTGGCTTCAAAAATGGATACCCAAGCGAACCAAAAATACTTGAGACGCAACTTTTGTAGAAAAGCGGTAGATTTCTGAATTAAATCGGTAGGCGGGAGATGGAGTGAAAAAGCGGTAGACTCCCGCCTAAATCAGTAGAGTTAACATGTATGCAGTAAGGTCAAGTTAGCCTTATACTTATGTGATTTAAATATTTCTAAAATATATATCAAGTACATATCAGTCTTAATGAGATAAATTCTGTTAAAAATACAAGTTGCCATATCTTTCTTAAAATTCCAAACAGAAATTGTTAATTTAAAAAAAAAAAAAATCCAAGCTTCAACATAATACATGTATTTTTCTGCTTGTTTTTAAGGGGTTTGTGCTCTTTTATGATGTTACAAACATGGAATCCTTCCAGAAACTAGACAGAATCAAAAAAGACATTGACAGATTTAAAGACAAGAGAGAAGTATGGATCTGTTCATACAGAGTTCAAGCTTTACTCCTTTTTTCCAAAGCAACAAAATACAGATATCAAATGTCAAGCTAAGATTATTATAAACATTGCTCAAAATCAGTGTTTTCAATAAGAGCCGGCAACCGGCAAAATTAGCCGCCTGTACGAGAAATTTTGCCGGCTGTGAAATTTCCGTCATTAAGATTTTGCCGGGGCTGATACGTGAAATCCATAGAATTTATCGCAACTATTTCCATGATCTAGAGTAGCTTCCCTTGAGTGCGCTCTTTTTTCAAGAAAGTTTGATTAGATCGATAGTGTCATATAATGGCGTCGCGGACAACGAATATTTGAGTGAAGTTGTGGAGAACATGCTGCTGCTGTAACACATGCGTTTGAGATCACATACATTAAGAGGCATAAAGGATGGTCCCTTCCAAAAAGATTTGTTTGTGTTTTATAATTTTCGATTGAAAATTGATTGTGCGACAGACTGGCAGCCTCAATATTAAGTGAGGGGTTCCCCAATGAAACAACAGCAAATATCTTTATCAAGGCCAATTTAATTTTAAGACCTTACAATTACGAAAAAATGTTTAATTCTTACAGAATTTCCTCAAACTGAAAATCTCAAATGTTAAGCTAAGACGTAGTAATTACGAATAAAAGTCTTGATATTTTTATCGTGTTTCAGACATAGAAATTCTTACAGAATTTCCTGAAACTGAAAATGTAAAATTTTATTCTCATTTATTCGTGTAAGATCTCTTGAAATACAGGAACAGTATCATTTTCACATTTGGGAAGGTTTAATGTACTAGTATTTTGTATCAAATTCCATTTTCTTAATTATTTTGTTCTGACAATCTGTACAAAATACCAAAGTAAAGAAGTTTAAAGATTAATTTATGAAACATCTAAGATTGCAAAATATTTCAATTTCTGGGGGGTACTGTACATCATCAAGTGTTTAAAAATACCTTAAATTTTTAACTAAATAATTTTTTTTAAATTGTGAATAAAAGTCCTGAGCAATTTATGTGAAAGCCAGAAAGGGTCTAAATATGTAGAATTTTCAGTATAATATTCTACCACAGACAATTGTCTACACTAGAATTTCATACGTAAGTTGCCTATATGTTTGTATAGACACTTAGTTTTCAGAACAAAAAAAACCCAGTCTGTCAAAAATATGTGAAAAGGTAAAAAATGTTTTCTAATTGGCTTTTTTTAGGTAAAATTTGATAATTGATAGTGACAGGAATGTGAAAAAATGGTACTTTTAAATGGCCTGAGAGGTAAGAAAAAATGAGTCAAAAAATGCTGATTTTCGTTTTCTGCCGGAGGGCTTCGCCCCCCTGGGCCCCCTACCAGGGCTCCGCCCTGGACCCGCTGGGGGCCTAAGGTGGCCCCCAGACCCCTCGCCAAGACTGGTTTCCTGCTGTTCCATCTATTTTTCCTTCTATCGAAAATCTTATTGAAAACACTGAAAATAAAATCAAAAACGTAAGACAGCATTTTCTGTGAACATCTTGTAACTGTCTGTTTGCCCTATTTACATGTAGTTTCTAATTTTTGATCAACAACAAAGGTTTACTTTGTGAATATAATATCTGTTAGTTTGTTAGTATAGTTAGTATATGTACTTGTACGAGGGGCATTTCAAAAGTCCTGAGAACTGTTTAATAAAAAATTAACCGTTTCTCGGAAATTATTGAATTTGGTATCATTGGAAAGATAAGAAAAATATACAAATATTATGACGTCACTTTATAATTTTTATGACGTAATATCTCCGAAAATGACGTCAGAATATAGAATGTTTAGCATACTAAAACCTCGCGTTTTTATCCACATGGCACAATTTTAAAAGTGCTCCCAAAGGCTTATTTGAAAATATATTCTAAGGAAAATTTTCATTTGCAAAGAAGTTGAGTAGGACTATGGTACTGTTTATCAACAATACTATATTTCATCCTTTTGTTCGTTTACTAGAGCGGTTTATGTCCGGTTATGCTATCATCGACATTCATCCAAGATTTTAAGTTACATGATACGACTGGATTTTCGGTCTTTTATATATTTCTCCATTGTATGAAATAAAACATTTTCTGTATAAAACTAAAGTATATTAATGCAATTTTCAACAAATATATTTTGAGTGACGGTACTCTTACCGTTTACAAATAAAATGTACAAAAGTCTTGCCCCTGACTTGTTTCTGTACGTATTTTTTCTCATTAATTCAACTTCGGCGCCCCCAAAACTTAGTACTGCTTTTGACTTTTGACTCCAAAAAAGGTTTGTAAGTTACACAAACATGTCGAATCTTATTTAATTGCCATGAATTAATTTTTGCGAATATGTGGAGGTACGGTGGGGTTACAACTGCGCCCGCGCCATTTTGGATTTTACAAGAAAATATGGGGCACACTAAGCTTGACTTCTCTTGAGCCTTCATCGATCCCACAAATACGGTTAAAACACCTGACGAATTGATGCCATGAAATAAAGTAACATGATCGTTTATTTTTCTTTGATTGTCAACTTTGCCTTATTCTCACCTTTGGGTCTGTTTTACGCAATATTTTGAGCAAGATTCGATAAAAACTTGCGATGTTTGACAATCGCTTAAACCATTTCAGAACAAGAAGATCTCTGAAATAGACCACCATATGATAGATTGTAGGCTATGTAAAGATTCTACCAACTGTCATTTATGTCCGATAGCTTGCACCCGAGTAATGAGCAAAAGTTGTTTTTAAAATTTTACATTGATGAAATTGTGTCTTTTGTTACGTCATTTTTATGGTCAGTATTGTAAGTATGCGGAAGTTTGACGTCATTATCGGAGTTATTACGTCATAAAAATTATAAAGTGACGTCACAATATGTGTGTATTTTTCTGCTCTTTCCAATGATACCAAACTCAATAATTTCCGTAAAACGGTTAATTTTTTATTAAACAGTTCTCAGGACTTTTGAAATGCCCCTCGTATGTGTAGTATGTGGTTTAATATTTACCAGTATCTTGGAGAGGATTAACTAGTACTGCACATAATAAAAATTACTGTATCCCAAATGTTTTGGAGATAAAGGTTGAAACTCTTCAAAGTCACCTTGATTTATAAGAATTAAGTTGCTGGAGTACAAGTGACACTGAAGGTAAGAAATGTTCCTTTTTATAGGTTCACATAGCTGTCATTGGGAACAAAGTTGACCTTCAGGAGGGAAGAGAAGTGGACAAGGAAAAAGCCACAGCATGGGCACAAAGAGAAAAAGGTAGAATAACAACTTAGTAATTAAAGTAGTTATAGCATGGGCACACAGGGGAAAAGATGAATAACAACTTATTAATTGAAATAAATATAGCATGGGCACACAGGGGAAAATGTAGAATAACAACTGAGTAATTAAAATAAATATAGCATGGGCACACAGGGAAAAAAGGTAGAATAACAACTCAGTAATTAACGTAAATGTAGCAAGGGCTTAAAAAGAAAAAGGTAGAATAAAAACTCAGTAATTAGATTAACTATAGCATGGGCACAAAGAGAAAAAGGTAGAATAACAACCGAGTAGTTAAAGTAAATATAGCATGGGCACAAATGGAAAAAGGTGGAATAACAACTCAGTAATTAAAGAAAATAGCATGGGCACAAAGAGAAAACGGTAGAATAAAAACTTAGTTTAGCAATGAAAGTAACTAAGGCATGGGCACAAAGAAAAAAAGGTAGAATAACAACTGAGTAGTTAAAGTAAATATAGCATGGGCACAAAGAGAAAAAGGTAGAATAACAACCCAGTAATTAAATTAACAATAACATGGGTACAAAGGGAAATGGGTAGAATAAAAAACTTAGTTTAGTAAGTAAAGTAACAATATCATAGTCACAAAAAGAAAAAAAGGTTGAATAAAAACTAAGTAATTAAAGTAACTACCGTAAATCTGGAAATTTTTACAACGATTTTATTTTGCGAATTCGGGTCAAAATGCTGTTGATTAATTTTTACGTTTCAAAATTTTGCGAATGACCACTGCTTTGTTTATATTTCCTTATTGGTAATTTATTTTTAAGAAAAATATTTTTGCGAATGCAATGAACTCGCAAATTTGCTAAAAAATTATCTACAGCAAAAATTTCCAGATTTACGGTATAGCAAGGGCACAAATGGAAAACGGTAGAATAAAAAACTTAGTATAGCAATAAAAGTAATACAGCTTGGGCAAAAATGAAAAAAGATAGAATGAAATCTTACTATAGTAATGAAAGTAACTATAGCATGGGCACAAAAAGAAAAAGATAGAATAAAAACTTGGTATAGTTATGAAAGTAACTATAGCATGGGTACAGAGGATAAAAGGTAGAATAAAAACTCGGTATAGAAATTAAAGTAAATAGAGCATGAGCACAAAAGGGAAAAAGAATAAAAAACTTGGTAATTATAAGTTGTATAGTAAATAAAATGACCCTGCATAAGCACAAAGGGAAATGGGTTGAATAAAAGTTCAGTAATGGAAGTAAATACAGTATGTGCATTGAGGGAAAAAGGTATAATAAAATTTTAATATAGGAATTAAAGTAACTGCAGAATGGACACTTAGGGAAAAGGGTATAATAAAAACTTAATATAGGAATTAAAGTAACTGCAGAATGGACACTTAGGGAAAAAGGTATAATAAAAACTTAATATAGCAATTAAAGTAACTGCAGAATGGACACTTAGGGAAAAAGGTATAATAAAAACTTAATATAGCAATTAAAGTAACTGCAGAATGGACACTTAGGGAACAAGAGGCCCAGGGGCCACATCGCTCACCTGAGCAATTGGCTAGAAAAAAGCACATATCAGATCAGAACTGAAAGTTTACTGAGGGCGGGAGGGGGCTTGAATTTTAACCCCCCACGGGGTCATGATTTGAACAAACTAGAATCTACAATACCTGAGGATGATTCCCTATAAATATCACTAAGCATTGCTCTGAAGTACTTGAAAAGAAGATATTAAAAGGTTTCCCTATATATTCCTATTTAAAACTTTTATCGGCCATTTGGCCCCACCCTACCCCAGGGGGTCATGATTTGAACAAACTTGAATCTACACTACCTGGGGATGATTCCACAAGAGTTTCATCTTTCCTGTCTCAATGGTTCTTGAGAAGAAGATTTTTCCTATATATTCCTATGTAAAACTTTGATCGGCCATTTTGGCCCCACCCTACCCCCAGGGGTCATGATTTGAACAAACTTGAATTTACACTACCTGAAGATGATTCCACATGAGTTTCACCTTTCCTGGCCCAGTGGTTCTTGAGAAGAAGATTTTTAAAGATTTTTCCTGTATATTCCTATGTAAAACTTTGATCGGCCATTTTGGCCCCACCCTACCCCGGGGGTCATGATTTGAACAAACTTGAATCTACACTACCTGAGAATGATTCCACATGAGTTTCATCTTTCCTGGCACAGTGGTTCTTGAGAAGAAGATTTCTTAAAAATGCCATTAATTTTTCTCTAATTCATAATTATCTCCCCTTGGAAAAGGGCTTGGCCCTTCATTTGAACAAACTTGAATCCCCTTTACCCAAGGATACTTTGTAGCAAGTTTGGTTGAAATTGGTCCTGTGGTTCTTGAGAAGAAGATGAAAATGTAAAAAGTTTACGACAACGACGACGACAACGACGACAGACAAATTTTGATCAGAAAAGCTCACTTGAGCCTTCGGCTCAGGTGAGCTAAAAAGGTTTCCCTATATATTTCTATGTAAAACTTTGGTCGGCCATTTTGGCCACACCCTTACCCCGGGGTCATGACTTGAACAAACTTGAATCTACACTATCTGAGGATGATTCCACATGAGTTTCATTTTTCCTGGCCCAGTGGTTCTTGAGAAGAAGATTTTTAAAGATTTTTCCTATATATTCCTATGTAAAACTTTGATCGGCCATTTTGGCCCCGCCCTACCCCCGGGGGTCATGATTTGAACAAACTTGAATCTACACTACCTGAGGATGATTCCACATGAGTTTCATCTTTCCTGGCCCAGTGGTTCTTGAGAAGAAGATTTTTAAAGATTTTTCCTATATATTCCTATGTAAAACTTTGATCGGCCATTTTGGCCCTGCCCTACCCCCGGGGGTCATGACTTGAACAAACTTGAATCTACACTACCTGAGGATGATTCCACATGAGTTTCATCTTTCCTGGCCCAGTGGTTCTTGAGGAGAAGATTTTTTAAAAATGCCAATAACTTTTCTCTAAATCATGATTATCTCCCCTTGGAAAAGGGTGTGGCCCTTCATTTGCACAAACTTCAATCCCCTTCACCCAAGGATACTTTGTGCCAAGTTTGGTTGAAATTGGCCCAGTGGTTTTTGAGAAGAAGATGAAAATGTGAAAAGTTTACGACAACGACAACGACGACAGACGATGGACAAATTTTGATCAGAAAAGCTCACTTGAGCCTTTGGCTCAGGTGAGCTAAAAAGGTATAGTAAAAACTTAGTATAGGAATTAAAGTAACTGCAGAATGGACACTTAGGGAAAAAGGTATAATAAAAACTTAATATAGCAATTAAAGTAACTGCAGAATGGACACTTAGAGAAAAGGGTATAATAAAAACTTAATATAGGAATTAAAGTAACTGCAGAATGGACACTTAGGCAAAAGGGTATTGAAAGGTTGGAAAAAACTAAATATATAATAATTAAAATAACTACAGCATGGGCACAAAGGGAATAGATAGAATTAAAAAAACTTGTTATTTAAAGTAACTACATGTACATGTATAGCATTGACACAAAGAGAGAACGTGATGGCTTTTATGTTCTAATTCGTTTCACTCAAACGAACATAGATTATTTACAATCAAAACAAGAACACTTGTCTATATAGGAATGGAAGCGCTTGCTGATAAATTGTCAGGTGTTGTGTGTCACAAGATCCAATCCTATACAGAATCTTTCAAAGCTGTGAATCTTCTATTCCTAGACTGAAAATTCTTATCATCCTCGATTTTCTCAGTTGGTGTTAAATACATCAAATCTTGATATTCTTTATGTGACACAATCAAATCCTCGTATATCTGCATCCACTTCTTATACTCATTTTTAACTGTATCTTTGCTCGGATTTTCCAGCAGTAACAGTTTTATGTTATTACTTACTTTGGACGTTTCTGGTCACAGCTTCTTCTAAACTTTAACTTTTGTTGCACTTGGTAAAAAAGTCCTTTCTCGGTCATCACTCTGTGCCTCTGTCCTGGCTGCTCTTCTGTATCACTTTCTTCTGCATCACACATGGCTGTTGATACTTATTCGTAAATGTTGTACTGTTCAATGCCCAGAGAGAGATTGAGAAATTGTAAATGCGTATGTCTTTATTCAACTTCATTCATAGGAACATTCGCTCATAGGTTTCATCATATGTCATAGTTCTCATACAATCCATCATACCTCATCATATGACTGACATCATACGATTTACTCTAAAGTAAATAAACAAAATTGTAAACAAAAAATTCTTGTAACACAATGCAATACCATAGAGACAATTCGGACTAGCAAATTGGCAGTGCCAAGGCAATTCAGACTAGTAATATATTCCAGAATATATGCTATCAATATCAAAGATAATAACTAAAAATAATACATTATAAGTTAACGTTCTATATATTACTGAGTATGCATAAAAATATCTAACTTTCAAAATTGGTGTTTACAAACGGATATGAGAGTTATTGCCCTTGCGATATACAGTTTAAGCCTAATGCATTTAACACCTATCCTAAACAACAGATATGCAGACCTATCAATGAATCTTATAGATAGTTTTAAAATATTGTGTTCAATATAATAAATCTATAAATGTAGCTTTACATAAGAAGTAAAGATTATCCAATATGCTCGACTATGTAGACCATTATCAGAGTATAAAAAATATTGATTCATAAATAAAATACAAGAAATGCATACAAATACATATGGGTGTGCTGGTGTTTGAATAATTGGCTTACCGAATAAGTAGTTTTTTCCCAATTCCAGAGATGCATTGAACAAAAGTACAGACCAGAGAACGATACCTTCCGGCGAATGTCACTGCTCCGTGCTCGTGCAGTACTCAAGAATATTATGTGTACCCAAATATTTATGACGTAATTCACTGACATAATGGCGCTAAAATTTGAACATGAGTAAAATGGCTATAACAATAAAAAAGGCACTTCTCCAAAGGTTGCTCTAGCATCACTGAAAATTTCACACTTCTATCTTCAATGGTTTTTGAGAACATTGCCGGACAAAGTGACCCTCTAAAAGTGACAAAATCGCGAAAAATCTCCAAACCGGAAGTGACGTCATCAAAACAAAAAAATATATGTCTAGTTTTTTTGATGTTCTATCAGTCCTGAAAGTTTTATGAAAATCAAACAAGCCGTTTTCGAGAACTCGCGTGCATAAAATATGTAAGAAAAAAAATAATAAAAACTGTGGAAAAGAAACCTAAGAATAACAGAAAGGTCTTCCGCTGAAGACGAAAGACCTTAATAATAAGAAACAGAGTAAAAACAATATGTTCCCCAACTTCGTTTGGGGAACATAATTAAAGAAAATAGCATGGGCACAAAGAGAAAACGGTAGAATAAAAACTTAGTTTAGCAATGAAAGTAACTAAGGCATGGGCACAAAGAGAAAAAGGTAGAATAACAACCGAGTAGTTAAAGTAAATATAGCATGGGCACAAAGAGAAAAAGGTAGAATAACAACCCAGTAATTAAATTAACAATAACATGGGTACAAAGGGAAATGGGTAGAATAAAATACTTAGTATAGTAAGTAAAGTAACTATATTATAGTCACAAAAAGAAAAAAAAGTTGAATAAAAACTAGGTAATTAAAGTAACTATAGCAAGGGCACAAATGGAAAACGGTAGAATAAAAAACTTAGTATAGCAATAAAAGTAATACAGCTTGGGCAAAAATGGAAAAAGATAGAATAAAATCTTACTATAGTAGTGAAAGTAACTATAGCATGGGCACAAAAAGAAAAAGATAGAATAAAAACTTGGTATAGTTATGAAAGTAACTATAGCATGGGTACAGAGGATAAAAGGTAGAATAAAAACTCAGTATAGAAATTAAAGTAAATAGAGCATGAGCACAAAAGGGAAAAAGAATAAAAAACTTGGTAATTAAATTAACAAGAGCCTGGGCTCTAATAGAAAAAGGTAGAATAAAAACTTAGGACATGTATAGTAAATAAAGTAACCCTGCATAAGCACAAAGGGAAATGGGTTGAATAAAAGTTCAGTAATGAAAGTAACTACAGTATGTGCAATGAGGAAAAAAGGTATAATAAGAACTTAATATAGGAATTAAAGTAACTGCAGAATGGACACTTAGGGAAAAGGGTATTTGAAAGGTAGGAAAAAACTAAATATATAATAATTAAAATAACTACAGCATGGGCACAAAGGGAATAGACAGAATTAAAAAAACCTATTATTTAAAGTAACTACATGTACATGTATAGCATTGACACAAGAGAGAACGTGATGGCTTTTAATTTATGTATACCAAACAACACTGACAAATTCTCATTGAAGAGGTGGCCTGCTTGTTAAGGTAATGCATAGCTATAGTAAATGGAAAAATCAATGACTACACATGAGGAACTGATGATAGAAATAAAAGTAATTTTTAGTCAGGTCAATGACTGTTATTTCCAATTTTTTTTTGATTTGTGAAAGAAGTTGTTCATGTTAATATCTGAAATTTTTGCCATTTGATATCCTTTTCGTGCTTAATGATCACTTCTTATAGTATACTTAGTTACACAGCATATTTTACTAATATGTATTACCCTATGTGTACTTAGCTACTCAGCATGTTTTACTTTACCCTATGTGTACTTAGTTACTCAGCATATTTTATTTATTACTCTGCTGTTGTTAAGGTTTATTGACCCTCTGTTAAGGGAACTAACCCTCTTGGGATGTAGGCTATTTTTCAAGTCAGTTTGATTTCTCTCAATATGATTTCTGTCAATTTTGGCCTTGTATGTTGTCATTGCTTTCAATTCAATGATGATTTAGAATTATTCGACTATATAATCAATATCATTAAAATTAATTTTTAGCTCTACTGGTCAGAGACTAGAAGAGCTTATGGGATAGTAATGCATCTGGGTCCATCCGTCTGTCTGTCCGTCTAGCTGTCTGTCCGTCTGTCTGTAAAATTTTTTTCAAAATGCTACTCCTACAGTTTTGGTCTGATTTCAATATAACTTGGCACACAAGTAGACTACACTGAGATACATAGTTCTGTTTATCGGTTTTTGATTTCGATGAACGATGCTGCTGTGGTTTCTAAGAATAGAAATTTCTGGGAACTTGTTTCAAAATGCTACTCCTCCTACAGTTTTGGTCTGATTTCAATATAACTTGGCACACATGTAGACTACACTAAGTTACACAATTCTTTTTATTGGTTTTTGATTTCATTGAACTGTGTTGCCGTGGTTACTAAAAATACAATTTTCTGTGAAATTATTTCAAAATGCTACTCCTCCTACAGTTTTGGTCTGATTTCAATACAACTTGGCACACAAGTAGACTACACTCAGATACATAGTTCTGTTTATCGGTTTTTGATTTCGATGAAAGGTGTTGCTGTGGTTACTAAAAATAGAAATTTCTGTGAAATTGTTTCAAAATGCTTCTCTTCCTACAGTTTTGGTCTGATTTCAGTATAACTTGGCACACAAGTAGACTACACTAAGAACATAAAGAGATTTAATCAAGGATCATTATTTATAAAGTTTGTATTCCCGACTGCTACTTTTCTCTTCCTTTGATATAAGTAAAAACCAGTAGAGCTTCAGTCTCAACAGAGACTTCTGGATATTTGAATGGATGCAGGATGATGAAACGTAAAGGAAACAACCATTCTCCAACTTTTCTTAACACGTAGTTCTCATTTTATAATCCACAGTAAAGCTTTTTGAGGCCACCGTCTCTCAGAGGAAGACCGTCATTGACCCATTTGTTTGGATCACCTCGAGAATCACCCAACCTCAGAGTAAGATTTCTGGTCCTAATTTTAGTAACAGCTTTATTTGCATTTTTTCAGTCAGATTTTCTTTTTGGGAAGTGCACTACCCAAACATTGACAGATAGTTATGCTGAGGTTTTTTAAGATTGAAAAATAACTGAGTTTTTAAAACTGTTAAATCTCTGTTTCTTTTATAAACTTTCATTGATTAAAGATAGAAATATTTATCTGTAAAAAAAATATTGAAGCAATAAATTTCAATGACTTTTCTTGTTATAAAAAGAACATTACTTTAATATTATCAATTCATGACATTTCTGTAAAAAAACCTAAGAGTTGTGAACAGCTCTCATTTTAAATATGGAGGGCTGACTTAAAAGTTGACTACTAGTATTTTGGAGGAGTTTGATGCATTAATATCTATTTATTTTCGTTTCATTATGCTAAAATTGATCAATTTTCCATCTATGAAAAATATTATAAGCCTGACTTACATCACCTTGAAAATTCACAGGTAGTTGACATAATTTTCATGTATTGATTAAAAAAATCTACCAAATTGAAATTTTGATACGAGCTTCATAGCAATGCAAGAGGATTTACTTTTAAAAGATCAAGACCACCCTCACCTAGTTTCATATTAGTAGTTTTTAGCAAAGAGAAACTCAAGATGTTAGATTTTATATGTCTATCAGGTTCAATATGTAAACACGTTTGTCAGATAAACTGTACAAGTGGAAACATTGTACATGTAGATATTTTAATTTCACTTTGTTCACGTTCAAAGATTTTGCCATGAAAATTAAGCTATTGGAATAATGTTAATAAAAACAATATACCATTAATCTTTAATTTGAATTTTTTTTATTCAATTTTATAACAAAAATATTAAATATTTCAAAATCTGAGTTTAATGTTATTGGATCTGTTTATTTTATTTGAGGTATATAACATAACTTTGTTTTTAAGGCCAATTTACAAAATTTGAAATATATGATAAAGAGAATACAGTGACTGTGAAATTAAATCCACTGAGAAATTTATAAACATAGGGAATTGTGAATTATTAAACACAAGAAATGAAACATGTTTATATTTAATAATATTACAATTCTTAAATGAACATTATAGTTAACAGATCTAAGCAAAGTAGATGGTCAACATTAACAGGTAACAGTTACTTTAATGGTTCTTCAGTACCTATTTTACTAAAGATGATTTCATTCCTGAATCTTGATCTTTCATGTTTCCAATTGTTTTAAATTGTCTTGTTAAATCTGTGAAATCTATAAGAATTATCCCCATGTATTATTAACTGCAAAATTCCATAGTCATAGGTGCATGTGTTATTCACAAATGCTGAAACAACAATAGGGAATTTTTGGCTGTTTCTATTCTGTGATGCTTATTTTCAACTTTATATATAGTATGTGAAATTTAAATAAGTGATATTTATTTACTATTCAGAATTTTCCACTTGGTCACAGTTGTAAATGAGATTTTAAAAGTGATCACAATTTAAATAGTTAAGGCCAGAAATATAGTGTATTTAATATATCTCTTAGTTCTAGCCAGACTTGGTCAAGTTCTCTTTTGTATCTGTTATGTTTTTCTTTTAGAGGGAAAATGATGCAGAAATCATTTACCTTTTGAATTCATTCATTAATTTAACAATAACGAAATTTAATCGTCATGAACTAGTTTAATCCCAGTAAATCGTGAAATAAAGTCGTCGCGAATAAAAGTTGGTTTACAGTAGTTAAGACTTACATAGTGTAGATTCAAGTTTGTTAAAATGATGAGCCCTTGGGGAAGAGTGGGACAATCTTAAGTGATCAAAGTTTAACATAGGAATATATCAGGAAAAAAGTTTAAAAATCTTGTTTCCAAGAACAGCAAGGCTATGAGTTGTCGTCATATTGATATAGGAGCACCATCAAGGAGTCCTACATCTTCGCTAGCCAAGGGTTTTCAGTCCACTGTGCTCCCCATGGTCAAAGTTTTTTAAAAGTAGGTCAAACTCCAAAGTCAAGGTCAAAGGGTCAAAATTGTTGGTATTCAATGAAAGGTCTTGTCACAAGAATCACATACGCTGTTTGTGAAGTACAGTGGACCCAAAACCCTTAGTTAGCGAAGATGGGAATCTTAATTCAGAGGTTCAAATCATGACCTCCAGCCAAAAGACAGGCCGCAATATCAAAGTTTTATGGAGGAGTACTTTAAAAAATTTAAATTTTTGTGATGAAAATATCGATGAAATGCTTATGTCAATGAAGATTATGAAAAAAAAAATGAAATTCTTGTGATGAAAACCATCAAAGGCATGATTAATCTAATCATACGGAAGCTTCTTTAGGTAGTATTGATTCAGTTTTCTTTAGCGAAAAAGGGGGCACCATAAGATATCAAATTTAAAGCTTAAAAATTTTTTCCAACAAGAGCAACAAAGTAACAATTTGTTTTATTGATATAGAAACTTGGCCAGGTTTTATAGATTTATATATGTTCAATGTATAACCCCCCATCAATAGGATGGGACCTCATGAGGAAGTCAAAGTTTTATATACGAATATATGATAAAAAAAATCAAGAACAGCAAATCATACCTAAGCAATGTAAAATACTCTTTTTTAAATTTTTATATTTTGATGGTTAGTCATGATACAAACATACATACAATCAGCGCACTCATCATTGTAGAGATCTGTAATCAGATTGCATATACATACATATACTGAAAAAGAAACCCTTAAAACAGCAGGATAAAATGAAGGATCCACGTGTTTTGTGGATTCAACTTTGATTAAACAATAGCTCCCTTAGGACTTTCTTTAGTCACAACATTGAAAGAGGTACAGTGGACCCTCAGATATCCGGACGCTTCAGTATCCGGACGATTTTTCATTGGAACGGAATTTTTTAATGTTATTTTGTCTTGTTTAACTGGTAATTCAGATATCTGGACGCTTCACATATCTGGACAAATTGACTTGGAACTGAAGCGTCCGGATAAATGAGGCTCCACTCTAATTATAAAGAATCTTTTAATAAAGAGAAGCATGGACAAAGTGACTCAAGGACCTATTTCTTACTCAATACCAACCATTTTTAAGATACTGAAAAGCATATGATTTTATTCAGTCATTTTATATCTCTGTGTTTACGGAAGGTAGATTTTTGAATGATGGATGGATACTCACTGTGGATAAAAATCACCCCTAAAATTGCAGTACTCTTGACAGTTTCATATGTCATTCATACAATGTTACTTTTATAATGGATATCTGTGGATAGTATCAGTTATTTTTTACAAAAATTAATATGACATAATTTTTTAACACTAGTAGGGAATGTTATACATTGGAAAAAAAGGAGCAAGAAGAAAGCATTAAACGGTACAAAATCAAATTTCAGTAAAAAAAGTATATTTTTCTATCAGTCATCTTTGCAAAAAAAATTTAAGACAGTTCTAAAGTGTGCTTGCTTTTGACGCTTTCAGCTTTTCAATGATTAATATTGTATTCATTAAGTAAATGAATTAAATTTATATTTTTGTTATTCGTAAGGAGATGCAGATATTTTTTCTCTGCAATAACATGCTGTTAAATAGGAGTTTGCTTTCGTAAATCAAAAAAAAAAAAAAAACCAAACTACTGTATAACACCCCCCCCCCCCGAATCATGATTAAGAGGGCATAAGACATGTCAGTTCTATTGCAAACATTGAGAATACATGTAATATTCCCTTCTGTCATGAAAAATGAATTTTCTGTAAAACAATCATAAAAATTCATCACATAATTTCTTGCAAATGATTTGGCAACTTTCTTTTAGCGAAGGGAAAGTATGTTGCTGCCCAGCAGAAACGCTTGACAACATTACAAATGTCCCTCCGCGATTTACCAGGTACAATGTTGTCTTAGGTGACTCATATAGTCAGAAAAATAAACCCTGCATGCGTAGTCCGCCAACATCTCTAACATTAAAAGAGTAGAAAAACAAAATATCCTATGCACTCTCATGGACAAGGATTTCATTTTAGATTAGAGGAATTTTGAAAAGCTTCATTTTATAAGAGGCAGCAATAAGAAACAATTGATGACAAGCATGATATAGTGATCTAACACGAATATACTAAATAAAAAAGATTAGCAGTAGTAGATTTTTTTTTAATTACACTGGTTAATCGCACAATACTTTTATAATTTTTGTTCTTTAAGCACTGCTTGATCTGAGCAGAATTACTTGCAAGTTACCTTACTTATATTGAAGGAATTAAAATCTTATTCTAACCGAAAGCTGTGTGATGCATTTCTAAAATAAAAACTATAACCAACAGGAAAATGAACTTGTATGCCCCCTAAGTGATACCAAACTAACTGGGAACCGAATGGTAGAACCAGGTAGCTCAATGTTTATAGTATTTTTATACAATCGGCCACTGTACTTTTTAAAAGTATCTGATTTCTATAAAATGTAAGTATATTTTGATAATTATTCATTTTCTTTCTTTGATCAGGAGCATATGTAGTAACAAGTATAATATATGTCTATGGTTTGACAGTATTCTGTACAACCATTTTGAATATTCAAAAGTCACATGCTTGTACATCATATAAAAAATGAAATAATTTTATTATAACGCAGATTCTTCATGACACTGAACACTTATTTGAAAATTTAAGAATATTTTGTTTCAAGAATACTACAATGTAAACGAGTGTCATAATTACAGGTATTTGGTGCAGGTACATTTCTCTTGCAACTCCTCTTTAAAAATCTAGGCAAATTCTATTGTTTTGCATGTAAAATGCTTCTTTTATTAATTTGCTCGAGTACCTGTAAGCTACGAAGTGAAAGAGGGAAATGAAATGACTCGAAGACACAACAAAGAGATAAAACGGGAAAAGATGTATAAAAAATATTTTAGTGGTACAGATTGCTAAGTTTATCATTATATCGATTTCATAGGTCATTTGGAAGCATTTAATATACATGTACATATCAGATGTCTCGGAAGCAGCCTAATTTGCTTCCGCCTCTGAAGCAAAGTTTAATTTGCTTCCGATGTATATTTAGTTATAGTTAATTTAAAAAAGCACTAAATGTACAGAATTATGTATGTTGATGCTTTTAACTAAACCATGAAATCGATACTATGACAGATGTAACAGTAATAAAAAGAATTTTTTACGCACCTTTTCCGTTTTTCAGACTTAGTTTCAGTTCTATCCTCTTTGTTTTCGTTCTGTTTCTTTTCATTTCTTTGTATTTTTTTCTTTTCGCCATCGTAGTTTATGGGTACCCAGATATGTTCTTCCAAAATGAAAGTTTGTGAAGTTAACATTTAGATTTTAATCAAAAAGCTCTGCATGGGATACAAAAGTTAAAGTGCTCAAGTACGCATCTATAACAAAACAGCATGGTAGTATTAAAGATATGTACTGAAAGTTGAAGGGAAAATGAAATAATCATTCAGGTAACTCTTTCAAACATTAACTCCATAAAACGCCAAAAGTTTTCTTTATAACAGTAACACTGAATGAATATTTCATGACCCTTTAGGGAATCAATGTGAAGAAAAGGAAATGAAATGGTATTCATATTTTATATGTGTGTATTTTCCAACTGCAAATGTGTTTGAATTTGATGTGTAGTAATCCGTTGAATCAAAAATGAGAATCAAAGCATCTTTTAATTAAAAAAAAAAAACTTTCCACAGGTAAATCGCTCTTGTCAGGCAGGAAGGGCAAAGGCGCCAACGTCAATACTGACTAAGAGGTACAGCCGTGAAATGCCGACTTAAGGGGGCCGACTATTGTTTCCATTGCGCAATATTTCGCGCATCATAGTAAAATGAAGCGTATATACTGTTTTAATGCAACTTTTTTTGCTTAATTATTAAAATGAAACAAAATTAAGAAATTATAGGTATAAAAATGTAATTACATTTTGATATAAATAATTTTTAACCGATTTTCCAATTCATAGGTAGGTTGACGTCGTTGCAGAGTGTTTTTGACGCTATGATAATCTGTAGCTTTTAAAGAAAGGTGTAATAAAAATATTATTAAGGAAAAAGTAATAAACATACGCTCTTGAAATTTAAGACATAGAAATTTGAGAATATCACCAATATTTTTGTCATGTTTTCATGTGAATCCATTCTGTACGTCATATTTTGTAATACTCTATAAAAATAGTAAAATTTGCTAATTTTTTGCATTTGGAGATGCCCCCTCTGGTAACAAGACGGTAGAATTTTGTGTTTCTTACATATATTGTATAATATAATATTACTCATCAAATATTATTGTTTGAACAAAAAGTCTTTTGTAGTATTTGTATAATTTGCTTTAAAGTGCTAAAAATTGGCATTTTCCTATATAATCCTATAGTACATATACCTGTATTTTGAGACGGTCCCTCAAAAATACCTGGACGGTAGATTTCCCCCAAACTTTGCATGTACACTGAAGTTAATGTAAGTTATATATGGTATAAAAATGAAGAGTTTCACTATTGTAGTTTTCACACAATAAAAATATAGTCGGCCCCCTTAAACGTTACAATACCTTGATGACTTGAATCCAGCGACGTACCTATGGTGGATTTATGACACTATTCATTTATTTATAGTTAGCATTTGTTGTCAAGTTAGCAGACTAATAAACATTTACTTCGATGTTAAAAATCCGTTACCACTTCTTAAACATTGTTTGATCAGGATATGTGGATATCGAACTTCTTATTTTAATTAGATTGTTTATATTTGCAAATGCGAACAATGGTGCTACATTAAAGAATTAGTGAATTTCATAAATAGTGGTTACTTCTAAAGTGTGATAGCACTGAAATATACTCTTCTTAACATTGAAACTTACTGTGACGTTATTGACGTTTTGAAACTGTTCGATAATTTTTTAACAGTTTTTACAGTAAATTTTCTGTCTATTGATGTTGTTTTTGCAGTTTAAATGCTAAACTTTGGTATAGTTAGTTGACCAAAGTTACACTTTCATTCTTTAGAATAACATGTATGTACATGAATTAAAAATAATTATTGTTAAACAAAATGTGTGTAATTTAAGAACCTACATATAAATGACGTAAAATACTTTTGTATTGTAATAACTCAAACTATGCTATATGTCTTCTTTGGTCTCCAATGACGTGATATTCATTTAAGATCTCTGCAGAAGCCATATAGAGTGTTACTGGAAAAGTGTTTATGGAATATTCAGATTAGTTTTGGATAAAAGAAAAGGATATTGTTCTCCAAGCTTACTTTTATAATATTTTAATAATAAAGACGTCTATGAATTTGATAGCTAGCAAACCATGTTTTAAAGGTGCATGGACACAGATTTGAAGTTAATATTTTCTGTATAATATCACGACTTTATATATTTTAATAACATTTCACACAAAATAGAAAGCCTGCTATTGCAAGCAATAGCGTTTGTCGCCCCAAACTGGACAAGACTTTCATTTTTTCATCACTAAAACAATACCCATTAGCTGAGCTTGGACAACCATCAACTCGTATCAGTACTTTCAGTACTTTGATTTAAAAATCAAAGTTAAAGAATTTTCACTTTCCCCCTGTTTCCTTGGCAACTATTGACAATTTGCAATTTTTAAATCCAATGAGCACAATTACAGGTACTAATCATTATATAAATAAAATTTCATGAAGAATGTTAAAGGGACCAGAGAGAACACTCGCGAACAAAATTCGTCGCTTTTTGCAGGTTTCCATGGCAACGGTAGCCATTTGGAAACTGAATGACCACACAACACAACTACAACCAGTGATCCTCCTTTGAGGAAAGTTTCAGGAAGATTGTCCCACCCATCTCCGAGAAACAGCTTGCACAACAAGAACATGCGTACAGTCGCAATATGTCGGCCGACTTCGTTCGGGGCGACATAAATATATTAAAAATTTTATTTCATCTTAAAGTTATTGAAACCTCAAATTTTTGGATGTGTTTGATTGACACATCCTTGCACTCTCACAAATTTTACTTTTATTCTGAATACTTAGGAAAAGTTGCAATTTTGTTGTGTATTAATGTATTAATGAAAAATACTTAAACTTTAATCCAGAAAAATAACTATATTCAGAGTAGAAATGTTTGAAAGCAAAACCCCTTCACAAGTACCGTCATTCCGCGCTTAGTGTTGTGTACAGAATTTAGCAAATTGATCAAACCCGTGAAACGTACACAGTTTTTGTAAACAGGGCACGAGCTCTGTTATTGTTGATGTTTACGATTCACCGGGAACGTTCAATTGTTAAAGTCTGCTCACCACAACTGGACGGACTGACAATATACTGTGTGTATGTTTTGCTTTCGAACATTTCTACTCTGAATTTTCTGGATTATAGTTTTAATATTTTTCATTCATACACAAGATTGCAACTTTTCATAAGTATTAAGAAGAAAATTAAAATTTGTGAAAGTGCAAGGATGTGTCAATCAAACCCGTCTGAAAATTTGAAGTTTTTATAACTTTAAGATGAAATAAGATTTTTAATATATTTTTGTGTGAAATACTATTAAAATATATACCAGGGTAAGCCGTAATATTATACAGAAAATATTAACTTCAAATCTGTGTCCATGCACCTTTAATGCACATCACAGGCGAGTTTGAAGAAAATGTTTTAATTTATAGTTCATTGTATAAACGTTTGTCAAAATACATTTATCACAATAAAAATATATAAGAATACACAAATGCATTGTGTTTTTATTTCCATAATAATTTTGTAAAACGTTAAAGACTAGGATCATCAAGTCTTTTCAGTTGATTCCTTTTTGCCCTAAAGTGGATCACAGTCACCTACTTTTTAAATTTTGTAGGTATTCAATTTGATTTTTGTTTTGATACATTTCTAGGACACTTTGAGATCTCTGATAATCAGAATTTTTCAGTTTTAGTAATATTCCGCTGTCACCTACATTTACCAACTTTTTCGATACTCAAGTGTATGTTCCATATACGATCAATTTTTACACCGAGGTAGACTATTTACAAATATGTTGATTTTACAGGGATTTCAACAATCGGCATTTCAAACTTGACTGTTTTCCTTTTTTAAATCCAGCTTCTAGATACAAGAAGTATAATTTATCTATGCTGTGTACACTATTGTTAGAGGTTCTATTTTTTAACCAAACTGCTCTGAGATCTTTTACTTGATCATTTCCTTAATACATATTCTAGGTACGACATTGCCTCTAAAGCATGGCTAATTGTTTTGAATGCAAATTTGCATTGCACATATCTTTGAGCTTTAGATATTGAGAATGGAGTACATTTAAATCTCGATTTACTTACTCAGAGCAAATGAGGTCCCATATATGCAGCATTTGAAAATGATTTGTAGGGTTCTTCCATATGGAGCAACTTTGCTAGACAGTTTTATTTTTGTCTTCTAGACTCCTTTGGATTGAACTATGTTTAAATAAAAATGTTTAAATCTTCTAGGGTGTGAAATGCACCCCAGTATGATAAAAAAAAAGAAGCTTTATTGAGGAAAGAAATGAAATATGCACATAACCTTCTGACTAAGATTGAAAACGTAGTTGTTGAAAGTCTAAAAATTACTTCTTCGAAAAAAATTTATCAATTTTTGAAGGGCTATTCATCTAGCATTCAGTTACTGATTGGTCACATGAATATTAATTATTTCTTGAAAGACATGGAATATCTGTCCAAATTAGCTTAAACATTATGAATTGTGCAGCATGAAATCTGAAATTCCACTTAGACCTTTACCCGTTAATGTCTGTACAAGTGTATTTAAATTAAAATTGTTTCTTCTATTCGAATGAAAAAGTGATGTTTCAGTTTGTTTGAATTTTTGTCCCCCGTTTTCGCGAAAGCGAGGGGACATTAAATCTCATTCGTCTGTCCGTCAGTCTGTCAGTCTGTCCGTCTGTCAGTCCGTCACAAAAACTTTAACCTTGCCCATAACTTTTGATTTAGCTGAGCTCATATTTCACAAGTGTATTCCTTGTGACAAGACCTTTCTTTGGGTACCACCAAATTTGACCTTTTGACCTTGACCTTGGAGTTTGACTCACTTTTACACAAAAAATCCTTACTTTTACTTTGGCCATATCTTTTGAATGGTAGAAACTAGGACTTTCATATTTCATATACATATTCTTTGTGGCAAGACCTTTCATTGGTTACCAACAACTTTGACCTTTTGACCTTGACCATGGAGATTTCCGTACATATAAAAAACTTTAACCTTGACCATAACTTTTGAACGGTAAGGGCTAGGGCTTTTATACTTCACATATTTAATCCTTGTAAGAGGACCTTTCATTAGATACCATGAACTTTGACCCTTTGACCTTGACCTTTGAGTAAGTTTTTTTTTCAAGAACTTTGACCTTGGTCACAACTTTTGAACTGCCAATGCTAGGACTTTCATTTCTCACATATATATTCTTTTTTGGCAAGACCTTTCTTTGGGTACCACCGATTTTGACATATTGACCTTGACCTTGGAGTTTGATCCCTTTTACACAAAAATTCCAAACTTTTAGTCTGGCCATAAAATTTGATTGGTAGATACTAGGACTTTCATATTTCACATATGTTTTCTTTGTGAAAAGACCTTTGATTGGATACCAACAACCTTGACCTTTTGACCTTGGAAATATTTTGTACTTATAAAAAAAACTTTAACCTTGGCCATAACTTTTGAATGGTAAGGGCTAGGGCTTTCATACTTTACATACGTAATCCTTATGAGAAGACCTTTCATTGAATACTCAAAAACTTTGACCCTTTGACCTTGACCTTGGAGTTCAGTGATGACTTCTAAATAAATGACAAAAGATAGGATGTTCATATTACGCACAATATGTCATAAAAAATGACATCTCACCCACAAAGACACCGAAAGCGGGGGACCACAATTCCTTGAATTTGCTTGATTTAAATATACATGTATAAATCTCTTTCGGTTCTGCGATGTTACTGTTATAAAGAAATTGAACAGCAAACCTGTGAACAATAAATGAAACATTGAACTTTACCTGGTACATTGTATGTGTTTGGAAAAAAAACTTGTTAAAATATTACTTAATAATTATGTGTCTTCAAGTTATTTTTAATAAAGTTGGTGATAGCACGTAACTTATGTCATCGATCGGAACAGTACAGGGATGAAAAAAGCGTAAATGAAAATGTTTTCCATGAACACCTTTACATTGTCTGGAGGAACGATGGCGTTAAAAATAATATCTAAGTTGTTAAGAAGTATATTTTAGTGTATTGCTGCAAAAATTAGGAAAACGCCTTTCATTTTAGAAAAAATAGGATTTATATGTAGCATCCTCTGACCAGTGATTTCAAGTATGCTTAAGTCTTTACCTTTTGCATTTGAGAAAAATCCTTACACCCAGGATTCTATTTTTTCATGGGAATGGAGGAAGATACTGAAGTGTAATTTTGAAGAACAGCAGGGTCATTGTTAATAAGGTAAGAGTTGTGACCCCTGGGTCTCTTTCTCAAATCTTTAGAATAAAGAAAAAAATTTCACAGGCACTTTCTATATGTATAATGTGGTATAATTGATTATATATATAAATATATATAAAGAAAGAAGATATGAAGTTTTACAAGTTTTATTATTTATATCAATCTCTTTGTAACTTTTGCATTAGATAATCGTCTGATTCCAGTTGCTTCCATACGTATCAGAGGATTAACAAACTCCTTTCTACGTTTACACGTGATTCTAATAACTTTGAACATTGCTCGGCGGAATTTCTCACCAAGTGCACAGTAAAACAGAAAGTTAATGGAATGATTTATATACATAAGCATTTCAGCTACAGCTTTAACTAAGTGTAGCTTGCCTAGTCCTTCAAAGGTTCGGTTGACGGAATTGTTCCAGAAACTGCTAATGATAATTGCTACATTCATTGGCAATGTAGTAAGAAGAAAGGCACACGATAAAGCCAACAACATGACGGTTGTCTTCCTATTTTCTTTGGAAAATTTCGAAACGGAAGGGGAATCCACTGATCGGCGATTAAAAGACATCATACGTATACGTCTTTTCTTGGCTTGACAAATCGAATGTACAATAACACTGTTTAGCACCACTAGAATAGAGAATGGTAGAAAAGAGTAGACCACAGCGTCAATCCAGGGCCAAATGTCATGCATTATAGCAGAAGAGGAGGGTATTATTGCACATTTCGGAACGCCGTTTTTGAGTTGAATTTCAGCAAGCACTAGAAAGTGTACATTAATGATACAAATGACTGTAAATATAACTCCACATATAATTTTTGCCTTGCGGACTCTGCATTGGGATAGGATACGAAATGGATACTTGACGACAACAAATCTTTCAACTGTCACTGCAATGATTATCCAAACAGACGCATAGCTAAACAGGTGACCAAAGAAGATGGACAACTTGCAAGTTAAGTCCGAGAAATCCTGTATATCTTTCCCTGTTAATTGTTCTCCCCAAATTCTTGTCAGTCCGGTCAGCAAGACAGCCGTGTCCACGATAGACAAAATGCTCAGATAAAAGTAAGTGGCAACCTTTTTTCGCTGTTGTTGCAAGACAATAAAGGACAAAATGTTTCCAAAGACTCCAAAGAACAGAATGAAAGGCGAGACGTACAGCAGGATGAGTTTACTAATGCGGAAAGTGGTGAACACATGTGAAGTGGTGAACAGCTGTGTATATTGCCCAGTGATATTCTGGTGTCCACATGGTCTGCTGATGTCAATTAAAAAATTGGCGTTAGTTTCATTAACGTCTTCTTCAGTGTACATCCCGTATAGTAATTGCTCATAAAGCTGACTGCAGTTCATTTTTCCTCTTTGAGTTGTCTTTAGAGTTGTTTATAAATGGATAGCCAGAAGATTCTTTAAACTATGTTCTATCAAGGCTTCCTTATATAAACGAGAGGCATGCATTTCATTGGCGGTTCAATAGTGTTAATGGGCTTTTAAAGCAGAAAGTTCATGAAAAGAAATTACTGTCTACATATTGATAAGTTTACGTGTAATGAAAGTATGTACGTGTTGAAAGGCATTAATCGCAATACAAAATTGAAGATCTTAGTGTCAAGTTAATAAATGCACAGACAGCTATTATTCTAATTTCGTCAAATACCGGTATACTTATTCTCGAAAATTAAAGTATCTAATATTCCCGTATAGAGAACATTTATACAGAGGACTAGAATAATAAGTTGATGGGAATGTTTTTTTCCTGATACGAAAAGAGAAATCTTTGTAAAAAGACTAGACAATAATCTGGTTTTCAATGCTGTAGTTTATAAACTCTTGTTATGTTGGATACCCACCTTTGACATAAACACAATATAATTTAAAACAGAATTGATTTCTCCATTGACGCTCATTTTAAGTATGTAACATTAATTTATGAGATACGCGACCATGATTTTCATGATCATGGTCACAACGGTATTTTGGTATCATACAGTAGAACCAATTTTTAAAATCTTTCCACCGTCGAATTTCTATCTGCAGACGCATGTGATAAGAAGTTCTTAGAATCGAAGATCCAAGTTTCCCTGCGTATTCCTCTTAGGCACCTGATCTCACCTGTGGACTCTTAGAGGTCCGTGTTATATGCCCTATGTACAGGTATTGAGTTATAAATTAGCAAACTTCAAGTAAATATCCATGAATAGAAACAAAGAATCACACATCCTGGAGTAAGAAACTAAAGCGAAAAATGACGAGACACAATTTGAAAAATCTTGAAAATTCTAGTTAAATACTCGTACATCACGCGTCAATTTAGGTCTATGCTCACCCTTATCTCTAAAGAATAGTTGAACTACCTTGTGGTTAAGCTGTATCGGCTTATTTCTGTGGAAAAAAATCTCGACAAAGCTCCATAGTTACAGGGAAATTTAGCAAAATGCAGACATGCCAAGAATAATTTTTTACATCATTAGTAGAGTTAATGTTTCTTCTTTGTTTACTTGATTGAACCCGTGTCAAACTTACAAATGCTAACCATAGAATATGGAGATAACGAACAGATTTCAAACCCCAAGTCCATTTCTACAATACAAAACAGCATCAGAGCAAACAAAAACATTCAAAGCCATCCCTTGTCTACCGGTCACAATTGACGTGGGCTCCTTGTCCTGATCGAAAAGAAGAGAAAAATACATAGAAAATTCAGAATGTAAATTATGGCTTAACAATTTGTTAAAAAAAAAAGTTCAGGCAACATTTTGACGTAATGATGAATTGTATTTCTTGATAAGGTCATTTTATCGACCATAGAACCTGCCAAATAATCACAGTACTTCAAACGAGTCTGTTGACAGCTGGTTGATATCTTTGTTTCTTTAATTTTGTGAATAGCTTGCTTTTTTTTTAAAGGGTCATATAGACAACATGTTCCTCCGCGACTGGGAGACGTAAACGCCACATACATTTTGTGAATAGTTTGCTTTTTTTTAAAAGGGTCATATAGACAACATGTTCCTCCGCGACTGGGAGACGTAAACGCCACATACAAATAAATATGTGGAGGTAATGAACAGTATTCGAGCTCAAAAGCTGAAAAAAGGAGCGGAACAAAGTCGGACCTCCAAAACATCAGAGATGGGATCGGGTGCCACGTAGGAAAGAGCATCCCCCTGCCAACCGGTCACACAAGCCATGTGCTCCTTGTCATGTTTGAGGAAGGAAAATCGGTGGACAATTCAGTGTGTTTATAATGGCCTAACTATCATTATGAAAAAGGTAAGTCAATATTTGACTTAACGATAAATTGTGTTTGTCGACAAGGTCATTGAATCGACCCTAGAACTTATGAAATTGTGACTTTAAAGGGACTGGGGGTTGTGGCCATTTTCAGACTTTTTTGACCTCCTTTAAAAGAAGAGTTCCATAGAAAGATATACAAAAATGATCAAATTTTATAACTAAAATGCGTGAAATTATTCTTTGCCAAATGATAGTTGACAGCTTAAGATATCATATCTAAAAATTAAGTTAAATATGGTGGTTAATTTGTTGACCCTCTAGCCTCCTTAACCGAGACTGCTAATATTCTTGCTTCATTACACATGTAACTTGTTTGTCAATAATTTACCTCGTTTTAGAAATTGTTCAGACGTAGAACATGCCGTTCCGTATCGAATCGACTGAGAAATACAAACTCCGTTTGCAGGCGACAAAAGTATATTTTTGCATTAATAAGAGAAGTTTACGATTGTAAAGTTAAAGTCATCACGTTTATCGTAAACTTTTGTTGTAAGAAAATCATTAACGTCTTTTTCTTGTAAAATATCCAAGTATCAAACAGATATGTTAGACTCTGTGGTATCTTCTATTTCAAGTTCACCGGGATATATCGTGTCGACATATGAATGCAAGAAAAAAAATATTGTTAATTGATAATACGTTGTCGATATATCTAAATGTCGAGTTGAAGGCCACAGCAAGTCTGTTCTTCTTTTCACGTATAAGATTTTTTAACAATTCTGCTTCATATGAATACAAAAATTGGTCTCCTAATAATTTGGTCGAATTGGAACCCATGGGAATTCCAATAGATTGTGGGAAGACCTGGTCTCCATAAACCACATAGATATTGTAAATCAGAAACTCGAACATTTTTTAAATATTAACTTCAGAATACTTGTGTGTACAATCACATTTTTATTTAACAAAGTTTTTTTTGCAAATGACCAATGATAGGTTAGTAAATTTACGAGGTAAATTTTGTGTTTTGAAAAACCAGCTGTCAATGATGTCAGAAAGCGTGGACTTTAGTTTATCGTGAGGAATGGTTGTGTATAAATTTAAAAGTCGTAAGTTTTCATGTTGTTGATTTTGGTAAAATTTTGTGTTTCAAATCCTCAAAAAGTTCCTTGGAATGTTTTAGTATCCACATCTGATTTACACCACTTCTTGAATATATTTTTGCATAGTTTTCTTGAAGTTTTTCCTTCATTATTGTCAATATCTTAATGAAGAGTAAGGAAAGAGACTTGGTGGGGAAAAAAGGCTCATTGCTATCTGAAACATTAGTATGACATCTTTTTTTTCTTTTTAGTACTTTTTGATGAACGTGTTTTCGTGGTTACTAAAATGGAAATTTCTGTTTAATACTTTCAAAATGCTATTCCCCCTACACTTTTAGTCTGATTTCAATATAATGCGGCACACAAGTAGACTACACTAAGATACATAATTCTGTACCTCTTTTTTTCGATGAAAGGTGTTGTCATCGTTGCTAAAAATAGAAACTTCTGTGAAATACTTTTAAAATACTACTCCTTATACAGTTTTCTGATTATAATATAATTATAATATAATGTAGCATGCAAGTAGACTACACTGAGATACATATTTTTCTTATTTATTTTTTTTTTTGTATTTTAAAGTGGGCGTCCTCATTATCGTACGGAGATTGGAGAAATTGTGATGAGTCATCACTGATGATCCTTGCCTTAGAAAACAGATTAATACTTCGTAAATACATACTTTTATTTATTACAATTACGTAATGTTGAGGATTAGACGTTGATCATTCCTGCACTTAAAAGAAAAATATATGTTTTGAAATTTTATTTTGATGCATATTTCGCTTATCCTTAAGTGCAGTCATCCTTTTGTGATTTCATATATTAAAAAAAATTATTGGACTTTATAAGATTATACATCTGATTTACACCACTTCTCAAATATAATCTTATACAGTTCTCTCAAAGGAATAAATATTCTGGCGAGGAGTAAAGAAAGAGGCTTGGTAGAAGACCATTTACTGGAACCCGCTATGTATCTTTGTTTGTAAGTATTTTCAGGGAATTTTGGCATATAGTACAGATATGTAGTTCAAATTAATTGTGATTGTTCGGAATATTAAAAATATTTAAAACTGACATATTGTCTTGAAGAATTTCCTCTTTACAAAGGAGCTAGTGGCACAAGTTGGATTGCCAATTTCAGTTTCAAACCCTTGTTTCTCTACAATACAATACAAACCAAGACATTGTTGTTACCTGCTTTGTCAGCTGGGACCAGTACATAATGATCGTTTAAGCTATCTTGTATTTGATTAAGTTTTGCCTTGTGGAGATGTTAACATCCATCCATCTTTTTCAAAAAAGTGTCAAGTTTTCTTTTAAAATTTAGTCCACAATTTATATTTATGAAGTTATTTCGCCTGTTGAAAGATCGGGGTTCCTTACATTTTGGCACTTTTATAGATGATTAAAGATCCCCATTATTATCTTTATTAGTATGGAAAAATCGAGTTAGCATTTGACTAATGATAAATTGTGTTTGCTGACAAGGCCATTGTATCGACCATAGAATTTTCGAAATGATTGCTTTAAACGAGACTGCCGATATTCTTGTTTCATCAACTTGTTTGTCTATAATTTACCTTTTTTAGAAATTAGTCATACGTAGAGCATGCTGTTGCGAACGAATCAACTGAGAGATATAAACCCCGCAAGCAGATGATAAAGGTCATTCTAGCTTTCAATGGTTTAAATAGAATGATCAGGTAAAATTCTTGTAAAAAAACATCTGACTTTCGTTTTTGATTTGAAATCTTGATGCCCTAATGTTTCATGTGTTGGAAAATATATAAAACGAAGTGTCTAGATCCTATTTTACAGAATTATTGAGACCTATCAATATAAAAAATCTTATGCTGTTTTATAGTGCAGATTTGAAGATTTTTCTTCTTTCATATATTCAACAATGAAATAAAAAACAATGACAATATGCTAAGTTAGAACATTTGCGAATTTAAGTTATCAAGCTAATCAAACCTTGTTTCTGAATATACCTTTCAGTAAGCTAAGTCTAAGCCCAACGAGGTATTTTCTCTCTCTCTCTCTCTCTCCCTCTCTCTCGTGCCGACATCGGATCGACCCTGTTTTCAGACAGTTGTTTCTTCAAGATGATGTTTGTTATTTTCGTCTGTCGTTGCACCTCATTTGAAATGGAGGAGTGCATTTTATTGTTGTTT